GGCTAGGCAATGGGGTTAAGCGACTCGCCCAGGGTCACACAGCTAGTAAGTGCTATGTGTCTGAGGTCGGATTTGAACTCAGGTCCTCCTGAATCCAGGGCCAGTGCTCTATCCACTGTGCCACCTAGCTGCCCCTGTCACCATTATTCTAATGTCAACCCTTTAAAAAAAATTCATTTTTCATTACTCCCACCCAACTTTTTAAGGTCTATGACTAGTTCACAAAACGCCTCATTCTAGTGACCACGTCCATCTACACGAACGGTCACTACACTAAGGTTTCCTTCCCTTTCTGGTTCAGAAGGTTCTACTGAAGTTCTCTATGCTTAGGTGACAACAAGGAAGCTAAGGAAAAACTCCCCTTTCTGTCAAAAAGAACAAAGCCCAGGTGCAGTGCAAGAATTACTTCAATTACTTATTAAATTAATAACACTTTATCCCAAGGTAGGACAAGCAAATGACTGTGCTTTTGTACACTACCTCCGAATTTGTAAACATTTGGGGTTGAGGACAACGTGAAAATGCCTAAAATTCTTGAGAACAAAAGCTACATATAACTCTAAGGTATTACTATTGTTAAGAAACATAGTACACACAGTCCAGAAAGTAATAACTACCAAACACCACCATTTTGAGCACGGAAGGCTTATTGCTTTACACAATATGAAACCTTTTTGAAATGAGATGTTTCTAATATTATTAATGCTTCTATTCACCCACATATTAGGTGCCCTTTCCTTTGCTGCTTATGTTGTTGTTGTTGTGTTGTGTTATGTATGCTGAAGAATTCATTTTAAACAAGATAGATGAACAGTGGGGTGGCAGGGATGATTTTATACACATATACATAAATGTGTATATGTATACACACAAGTTCTGAACACCATCTTTAAAACTAAGAAGAAGGCCTCTGCATTTATCAAATGCCTTCTATGTGCTAGCTACTGTGAAAGGTGCTGGGGATTACAAAGACAAAAATGAAAAAGTCCCTCTCCTTAAGGAACTTACAACTGGGAAGAAAAAGACTGAGATAGGGGCTAGCCGTATGATTTCATTAATACAGAGAACTTCTTCCAGTAATGTGAGTTGGTATCTTCTCTGCTGCCTAGAGTAGAACTGCTTAGAACACTGAGTTTAAGTTGCCCAAGGTCACACAGCCAACATGTGGAGGAGGCAGGAGTTCCAGGCCCCCACACCAGCTTTCTGTTCACTACCATCCTGTCTCTCTTGTAAGTATGCATAAAACATAATGCAAAATAATAGAAGCAGATAGACAGGTCAGTGGACAGATCTCTGGGCCTGGTATTAGGAAGACCTCAGACACTTATTAACTGTGTGATCTTGGGCAAATCACTTAACTTCTGTTTTCCTTAATCCACTGGAGAAGGAAATGACAAACCACTCCAGTATCTTTGCCAAGAAAACCCCATGGACAGAATGGTCCACAGGGTCGCAAAGAATCAGACATGACTTAACGACTGAACAATAACAATGCAAAATAATTTGGACTCTAGGAGCTGAGGGTATCAACAAAGGCTTCACAAAGGTGATACATGAGGTGAGCTTTGAAGGACCCTAGGAATTCTAAAAAGCTGGGGGACGAAGGAGCGCATACCATGCACTGGAACACAGCACAGAGACAGTAGAGATGGAAGGTCTTATGAGATTAACAGCAAGAAGGTGAATATGGCTTGACTTTATATTACAGAAGGGACAAATGGAAAAGGGACTCACAAAAGTAAGCAGGGACCAAGTTATGAAGGGCTTTAACGGAAGTTAGTATTGTTCCTGGAAATAAACAAGAAGTTAATGGAGTTTAGTTAGGGAGGGAGGGCGGGGCATGACATGGTCAAATCCGGGACAGATTTGAGACATGTGAATGTAGCAGTGAAAAAACACTTTGCAACTGATTAGATATGTGAAGTAAGGCAGAATGAAAAGCAGAGGCTGTGAACCTGGGTTACTAGAAGAATATGGTACCTTTGAAAGAAAAGAGAAAAATTAGGAAGAGGCATGGGTTTGGGGAAAAAGATAATGAATTCTGCATTTTGACATGCAGAGTTTGAGATGTTCCTAGGACATTAACTTTGAAATGTCCAAGAAGCAGTTGAGGCTCAGAAGAGAGCTTAGAGATGAATATATAGATTTGAAAGTAATCTGCACAGAAATAATCATTAAACTCATGGGAACTAGGAAGGTTAGCAACCATATCACACCTATCAGACTGGCTAACATGACAAAACAGGAAAATGATAAATGCTGGAGAAGATATGGAAAAACTGGAACACTAATGCATTGTTGGTGGAGTTGTAAACTGATCTAACCATTCTGGAAAGCAATTTGGAACTACGCCCAAAGGGCTATAAAACTGTGCATACCCTTGGATCCCGCAATACCACTACTAGGTTTGTATCCCAAAGAGATCATAAAAAAGACCCACATGTGCAAAAATATTTATAGCAGCTCTTTTCGTTGTGGCAAAGAATTGGAAATGGAGGGGATGCCCATCAAATGGGGAATGGCTGAGCAAGTTGTGGTCTGTGAATGTAATGGAATATTACTGTTCCATAAGAAATTGTGAGCAGGCAGACTTCAGAAAAACCTGGAAAGACTCGAGTGAACTGATGCTGAGCAGTGAGCAGAACCAGGAGAACAGTGTACACAGTAACAGCAACATTGTGTGATGACTAACTTTGATAGACTCAGCTCTTCTCAGCAATGCAATTATCTAAGACAATTCCAAAAGATTCATGATGGAAAATGCTATCTACATCCAGAGAAAGAACTACGGAGTCTGAATGCTGATTAAAGCTATTATTTTCTCTTTCTTTTGTTGTTTTTTCTTTCTCATAGTTTTTCCCTTTTGTTATGATTCTTCTTTCACAACATGACTAATGTAGAAATATGTTTAATATTATCATACACATATAGCCTGTATCAGATTGCATGCCATCATGGGTATGGGTGAGGGGAGGGAAAATTCAGAACTCAAAATCTTATAAAAGTGAATGCTGAAACTAAAAACAAATAATGAAAATAAAATATTCTCGGGGGAAAAAAGGTTACCAAGAGAAAGTGAGGATTGAAAAGACGGCTCAGGACAAACACGTACAGTTAAAGAGTAGGATAAGAATAAGGGTCTAGCAAAAGACACTGAGGAATAGTCTGACAGAATGAAAACCAAGAGAAGAGAAAGCATTCAGTGGTCAACAGCATCTAGTACTCCAGAGAGGTAAAGAAGTATGAAGACTGAGATTAAGGCTATCTGATCTTGGATTACTGCTACTGCCCATGCCTCACCTAATCTGTAGACAAGGCAACTAATGTTTATAGAACTAAAATAAAGGTTTTTTTAAAAAGGGAATTTACCTAATTGACAATTAATTAATTAATTATATTTACCTAATTAATAATAAAGTAGCAAGGTGGTACAATGGATAAGAGAGCCAGGGCTAGAATCAGGAAAACCTGAGTTTAAATATGGCCTCAGACACTAAGCAATTAACAACTTCTGTCTCAGTTTCCTCATCTGCAAATAAAGATAATTATAGCATCTGCCTCCCAGGACTGTTGTGAGGATCAAATGAGATAATAATTGCAAGGTGCTTAGCACAGTGCCTGGCACATAGTAAGTGCTATACAAATGTTTGCTATTATTGTTTTTATTGTTACCCACAACAATAACAATAGCTTTTCTATGGTGCTTTAAAGTTTGAAAAGCTTTTTGCATATATAAAGGTCTCATGAGTCCCTTACAATAACTCAACAAATTAAGCCTTTTATCCCCATTTTACAGAGAAATGGGCTCATAGTAGTAACTTGTCCAGCTATTTTCTAGTTAATTATTTGTGGCTGGATCTCCCTTGACTTCTATCTCATCTCCATTCAGAGCCTACTCTGCCAGCCTGGAATGAAGTCCCTCCCCACGCCTGCCTCCTAGAAACCTTGATTTCCTTCAAGAGCACTACCTCCTACCTGGGCCTTTCCCAATTCCCAATGCTCTCTCTGTTCCTCAAAAATATTTTCAGTTTACTTTTTTATGAAAATAGGGTATCAATACAAAGTAGGTGCCTTGAAGCAGAGTTTTTAGGTTTTGCCTTTGTATCTTCAGTGCCTTGTATATAGCATGCTGACTCCTAAAACAGGCTTATTGACTTAAAAACATCACATATAATAAACATATTTAGCATCCCTCTAATAACAACTTAAGGAAGCACACTTGAAGTAATGAGCTGTAAGCACAAAACCTGAAATATCACACATGAGATGATCTTTTCAGGAACCATGTTTTGAAAGTCTTTGGCCTTAGCTATTCAACTACTGTGAACATATAGTTAAACAGATCCTAGTTTTTCTTTTTTCCCATCTAAATGTTATAGACTGTAGACACAACTCATTCTGGTGAGCTCTAACTCTGAATTAAAGGTTAACATTACTCTTTAGGAGAAGACCTAAACTTTTTGTGGTAGCAAACAACTGGAAACAAAGTAGATGTCCATCAACTGGGGAATGGCTAAACAAATCATGGAGTATGAATGTAATGGAATATTATACAAGGTGGATGGGGCCTGGAGTCAGTAAGACTGGAGTTCAATCTAGCCTTAGATATTAGCTGTGTGACCCTGGGTGAGTCACTTAATCTCTGTTTGACTTAACCCACTGGAGAAAGAAATGACAAACCACTCCTGTATCTTTGCCAAGAAAACCCCATGAACAGAGTTAGAGTCGCGATGGTCCAAGGAGTCACAAAGAATCAGACATAACTGAACAACAACAAAAGCAAGAAACGAACATGATGAATGCCAACAAGAATGGAAAGGCTTGTATGAACGATACAAAACAAAGCAAGCAAACTCAGGAAAACAATATATATAATACCTATAACAATGCAAATGGAAACTTCTGTTTGTTTTCATCTGGTCAGAAAATGTTGGATGTTTGTCTAACATGGTGGACACTAGGGCAGCAAAGGGGCTCGAGGAAGCTGAGCAGCAGGCACGATGTTTGGTCGCCAGAGTGGTAAGAAGAAGCCTTTGAAGCAGCCCAAGAAGCAAACCAAGGAAATGGATGAGGAAGATATAGCTTTCAAACAAAAACAAAAAGAAGAACAGAAAAAACTGGAAGAGTTAAAAGCAAAAGCTGCTGGGAAGGGACCACTTGCCAGTGGTGGGATTAAGAAATCTGGCAAAAAATAGACGTTCCTGTGTAGATAAGATAGTGATTCCTGTTGGGTTTCTTTCTTGCTTTGTGACATCTGCATTTCCTACTTCAACATCTGTAGTAGCCTGTAGCCAAGATTAAGTGTCATCTTTATGAGACTATTGTACATTGTAATAAACTTTTTTTAAAAAATAAAAAAACCAAACATATTGGACACTAATTAGGATAAAAAAGCAAAGTATTTTGCGAAAGGTGCATTTAAATCTCAGAGAGATAAAGCAACCCAATACTTTGGGCATGGCATGAGGGTGGTGGAGGTGGGAAGGAAACATATGTAATCATCTTTGGACAGTTAACTTCTATGTGCTAAGACTATCTCTTCCTTTAATATTTACAATGAAAAACTCAGTTTATATGTTGACAAAAGTAGTAAATGAAAACAAATTATTGTCATAGCCCAAAGAACACCTTTAAGGTAGGCTTATTTTTAAACCCAGATAAGAAAGAACCTACAATGATTGGCATCTATACTCTCTTCCCTTTATCATGAAATAAATGTTTTCTTGGGCTGACTAAAGGTAATCAACTCCTCTGCAATATTTGCCAAACACCCACAATAAGCACACTTGACTACAAAGACAGAATCCTCATCTTCCAGAAGCTAGCACAGAAGCTAGCAATCTAGTTTAGGATACAGACCTTACAACTGGGGAGAACATATTCAAGTCAACACAAAATGAGTGTGAGTTACTATACTAATGTTGAGTAAAATGATTAGAATGGGAAAAAGATTTCTTCACTTTTAGTTATGGCTAAGAAGGACCTCTTTTGGATAATAAAAGGAAGACAAAAGTGGTTAAACTGAAAAGAACTGAAATAAGAACTTTGGGGTCTTATTCTAATAGTGTTTCAAAAAGCTCTAAATACTTACTAGAACTTACTAGCTCAGAGAGAGAGAGAAATGTGGAATGGTTGATTTCTATAGACAGTAGAGAGAACTGAACTCATGATTTGATTACAAGTCATCCTACAAACCTGGTCATTGGGTAAAATTTACTTTCCCTACCTATTGTCGTTATCTGTCCCTCCCCTCTCGTCCTGTCTCTCCCCAACCCCCCCCATATGAGCATAAGGGCTGAATTTATAGCTTCTTCCAAAACCTTTACTTTGGCACAATTTGAAAAGGAAAAATTCCTATTTAAGGAGAAAATAAAGAGAATGAAGTAATATACTGTTTTCAGAGAAGCACAATGGAAATCTGGTAAGGAACATGAAAGGTTACTGGGTTTATCAGAGATCATGGATCCAATTTTCATTAGCTCTCTTTTGTTGTATTAACACTGGAAATCTTCTTGGAACTTTTCAAGTGCAAAGAGATTCTTATTACTGATAAAAACCAAAAGATAACAGAAGCAGCTAAAAACTATGACTATTTCAAGGTTTCTGGAACTTCCCCTACAGACTTTAAAGAATGTTAATCATCCAAGTCCATCAAAGTTTAATGCTTTAAAAACAAAAATAAAAGTAGATTATGTCAAATATATCAAATCAAAACATTCTATTGCCTTACTGTTAGCAGTTATCTTCCATATAACAGTAATCAGAAACCCTTTCTTCAAGTGAAACATATGCTATTAATTGTCAGACTATAGTACCTGCACTTTTCTCAGATATTTAAAATATATTTTATTGTCTATTTCTGCCCCCAACCCCCTATTTAAAAAAAATCTTTAAAAATTCTATTAATTTGTTTCCAATTAATTTTAGAAAATATCTTTTAAAAAATCCCTACATTAATCATTGCTATGCTAGCCAGGTTGACATATGCCAAATGTAATATATTTTTAATGTTGTGGTATGGTTTCTTGCTGTGCAGATATGCAGAAACCTAACAGCTCCTCTTCAGCAGGTGGCAGCAGACACGGCAAGAATCAATGTGTTGTTCCGCCATTTGACGGCTTGGCAAATCTATCATCACTGCAGGCAGCTTTGGAGCCACAGGTTATAGGCCTTTTTTTATGTTACAGTATAGTGCTGATCTAGAACAGGAAATACCACCATTCTACTACAGTGAGTGTATTACACTCTATTTTAGATGCAGTTCTCACAATTCAGATAAACAAAAGAATAAATAAATGGTCCAGACAAAAGTGACTAAGATGGTGAGAGGGCTGAAAACAGTGTCCCACAAGGATTGTACAGAACAAAGATTTTTAACCTGGGATCTATGAACTTGGAAAAACAATTATAACTATATTTCAGTATAATTGGCTTCCTTTGTAATCTTCTGTATCATATCCTATGTATTTAGAAAACTCATTTTAGGAAGGGGTTGATGGGCTGCACTGGATTGCCAAAGGGGTACATGACACAAAAAAGGTCATAACTCCTGCAAAAGTATTAGGGATGAAGAGTAAAGATGGGGATGAGTAATGGGATGGGGGAATATGAAAAGTGTCTTCAAGTATTTGTCATGTGGAAGAAGGATTAAACTTACTGAGGATGGCCATAAAAGTCCATCTGTGCCTTGCAGTGTCCTGGCACATCAGAGGGACCTAACCAATATCTGCTGAATTGAATTCAATATATGGAAACTATATTTAGGTTTGATTGAAGGGAGGAAAACCCTTTTTAACACTGAGAGCTGTCCCAAAACGGCCCAGACTACCTCTGGAGTTCAGGCCTCAGAGAGGGCCCATCTCATGTTCCCTTCAGCTTTTGGATTCTTGTGATTACACCCAACTCACCTGAAGGAACCAACTGGGTAGATGGTTTTCCTGGCTTATACAACTTGATTGTTAGGATAATCTCAGATTCACTGGATACCTTTAAAAATGCAGCCTCTTCACTAGGGGTCTAGATGGCTGCACATACAAGGAAATAACAACCATCCTAGTGCTTTCATCCAAGACCTACAGTGGTCCTTGCTAAGAGCTTTTTGGCTTATTTAATATCTTTAAGAGAGCTTCAACATCACCTTTTTATCACCATGACCTAGCTTTACTTCTTGTATAGAAGGCACAATACCTCCAGCGGGGTGCTAATATAGTTTTACTAACTATTTCTGCTGGTTTTTTCTCCCTATAGCTTCCATGACTTTTAGTACTGAATAGAAATAAGAGGTGAGAATCACCTTGGTACAGATGGCAAAGCTGTGTGTCTGCTAAGAGGTACCTGGGAAAGCTTATTGTCAAAGGAGGGGAACGTGTCATCAACGTAAAGTAACCCCACAGGGCATCTTGTATCTCTCTCTTTGATAACTTATAAGAAAACGATCATTTGATTTCCACTTACCCCTACAGCAAGGACTCAAACTGCAGTTGACTGCCTTAGTTAATTAGAACACTTTGATAACAAGGCCAAGGGAATGGGTTCAATCCTTACAAGGACCATTTAGTTCTGCTCTGTTCCAATTCAACAGACTGCACACCTAATGTGGGTCAACTTTTGGCAAACTTATAAAATACAGTACAGATGAAGCCTATCTTCAAGAACCCCTTAAACCCAAATGCTGGAATGGTCTCATTGCTTCCTTCTCTGCTGCCTCACCACCCATCCAAGCAATTTATATTTAGATTAGGAACTTAATGTGTTAGCTTTCACGAGTGTCTATATTTTAAAATTATACTAGGGAGTGACTGAGTAAAACAAATGAACAACTAGATCACAGAATTTCAGTTGTCAACAGGGAATACATTTTTTTTAGTGAAGCCATCTTGTAATTCCTCACAATTTTATTCAAGTAAGGCTCTTCCTGTTCTAAACCTAGTGAGATACAGTTACAAATTCATGCTACTGGTCTCAGGATCAGAATCAGATGAGAATGTAAATGGATGGGTCATGAAAATCTCTCACCCACTACCAATCTCCTAGCTTACTAATGGCAGGTCAGTGGCATCGTCTTTGAATATGAAGAACATATTACTCCAGTACATACTGCTGTGTTCAAGAAATCTGCTATCTATCTTCCTTTGTCACACCAATGAGTAAGGAAAGTAGGAGAATGAGGAAGCTTAGGAAGAGGGGGCAACTTGCCAACTGGTTCAAGACTGCTGATGTGGCCCTAAAAGAAAAACTTAGGAGAGCAACTCAGGGCATTTTAGTCCGTCTATTTCTAGGTCTATGTTAATGAGGTCTTTAGGAAAGAGAAGGGAAAGGAAAAAAGCAAGTATGTTTTACTAGGATCAGTTTTCAGAGACAACAGAAAGAGAAGACTATGGAGGGAAAAGAAAAAAGTTCCAACCTGGCTTTGGAAATATAATGCAGTGGTGAATTGTTTTGTGGTCCAATTCAGAAGGGTCCAAAAAGGATTCCTCAATAAACAAGAATGAATTGGCCTGACTCTACTAACATGATTAATACTAAATATATTAACAAGATAACTATGCAATGGTAGGCAAGCAGAACAATTAAACTACTATAAATTTGAGGGACTTTAAAGGGAAATATTTCTTAGTTTTAAGATGGATTAGTCCACCTCTATACCATATTAGCATTAAAATCATCTGCACTGCAGTTTAAAATGGCACTATGTCAAAAATAAGCACCTCCTCCATAACTCTTTCCCTAAAAACCAGAGAGATTTTACATTAAAAAAAATTATGTCTGATCAACTGTACCTCTCTTTTATTGGAAGGGAGGAACAGAAGGGAAGGAAGGGGAGGTGATGAGGGAGGAAAGAGAGTAAAAAGAAGTATCAAGAAGGTTCCTGTTTGCATCAGGTGTGCCAGGCTGGCTCCTGGAGGGAGTCTAATCAGATCTTGTAGTATTATTTACCAAGCACAAGAAATGGTAAAACCATCTTTATCATCTAAGATAATGTTTAGGAACTACTTCTCATATTTATTCCCTGCTGGTGCACCGTGTCAGTCATTTACACTGCAGTCAAAAAATATAACTCTTCCTGCTATGCAGCAATGCTCATGCTGATAGTATGCAAGCAGAAGATCATTACAGTTGTCATAGAAAAGTGAGCCCCAGCTTGATTTGGGTTTCTTCTAATTCAGTATTAGTTTCATATATGTTCATGTTTGTTTTTCCTGGCA